CAGGGGTGCTGGAAGGATATCTTACTTCATTTTGACCAGGTTGTTGTCATAGCTGTTGTGTTACTCAAATTAATTTAATTGGAGAATTACTGAGAAATGCACACAGGAACACACAGGTGGATCTAGATACACACTTACCAGCATACCCTTGAGACGCAAAGCATTTTGATGCTTTGATCCCAGCCCCCTACAGTAGCTCAAACTGAGGCCCAAGTGTAAGAGCTGAGAAAGATTAATTAAATTTGGCTAGGCTTTGACAAAGACCATCAAGGAGAGGGACAGAAGAAGTCAAAGGCAACTCATAAACTCAGATCCCCAGAAATTAGGCATCTGGAATAAAAATCCTAGAGTGGCTTAGGTAAAACAGACAGAAGTATTGTAAAAGCCTTTTCCCTAACATTACATGTTGTGTTTAGGGTTAAACAAAGATTAAACAATTTTTTGTTATAAAAGGTGCTGTTTTGAGTGTCTGGAGTCACCATGGATCACAGATCCCACAAAAAAGAACCAACCACAGGTATTTGGCCCAGTGGGCCAGGTAGTTGGGCATGCTGGGCAAACAGTTGATCCACAGAGTGCTATGTTCACACACCCATCTAAGGGCCCTGCTACACATTCAAATTAAAGCTGGATAAAAAACCAGCTACAAAGATATAACACATTTTCAAGCATTAACTTGATAGCTGATTAGGTCTTAAAAGGACAATCCCTTTTATCATGTAATAATCACTTTGCACGTGTGGTCGGTCTAAATTTATTGTGCGATTAACCAGTCAATTGCATAATATACATAACATGTAGCAGAGGTCTAGGAGTAAAAGACACCCTGAGACAGCTTCCACCCTGAGACGAGAGGAGCTTCCCTCGCATACCCCTGGAAACAGAAGTGGGGCCACTATTGCAGCAGTAACATATTGGGGGAGGAAGCACTTGCGAGGGTGACCGTGCTTAATTTCCAGTAAATGCCAACAGCAATTAATACAAGTATTGTAGAGTGGGGGGTGGGGTGGGGGGAAGCGAGGGAAATCTATCTTGTGTTCTATTGGGGGAGATATTAGGGAAAAAAGAGCTATGAGCAGCTAAAGAAAATTGGTTAATGGAGATATGCTAAGGGAGGAATGAAAACTCTAATAAAGTGAAGAAGCCAGACCTGGTGACTTTGCTGTCAGACAGAGGCCAGAACAGAATGGGAGTTGAAGTCTGGAGCTGAATTCCTAGAGGGTGACTGAAGTATATGCTGTAATCTGAGCTACATCTGGGTCCCATCCAGATCAGGTCTAGTCATTCAGCAGAGTGGCATGGAAAAAGGAAAGCTTCACTTGGAGGCCCAACAGCTTGCTGACTGCGAGCAAGAGAAACCCAAAAAAGAGCTCAGAAGTGCAGGTGGCCCTTGTTACCATACTATTACCATGTGCAAGATCTTACAGGGTTATTAATGGTCTCAGTCATGATCACCTCAAATCCAGAAGTGAATAAACTGCAATTATTAAGCAGCTGGGCTGAAAGTTTCCCGTAATATTAAGCTGAGAGAAAAAAAGGCAATGCAATGTTGATTATAACACTCATATGAATTACAATACAGCTACTTCAAGCCAGAATATGTTCCTTCAGATAACAAACTGAATGAGCCCCAAGGCTTTGAATATCCCCCTTCAGTCCCCCAGTTCCATTAAGTTGTGCATCCTTTTGACCATCAAACCTTTTAGAACATCTTTTTTATTATTAACTCTGGAGACTAACATTTAAGAGGGAATTTTCTCCAGTTCACTCAAATGACTCTAGGCTCTCTCTGTTAAATGATGCTGAAAAGCTAATACAATGCTTTGTGTCAAAATTTAATCCCTCAAACAAAGAAAGCAGTATTTTTTTTCCTCCAGAAGACAGTCCACGCAAGTGAAACTGCTTGGGTTTTATGACCAGCATTACAGATTTCTGTATTTTGTTAAACGGTTTTGTAAAAGGCAGTGGGTTAAACTTGAGTGACACAGGTTATACCACAACTTAATTTAATCTACTATGTCCTTACTGGTAACTTTTGAGATCAGAACTAATTTGTAAACTTCTCAAAATGTAACTTTAAAATAAGCAGCTTCAGCAATCAGTTTTTAATATTTTGCAGAAAGTCCTTCAGACACTCTTATACTGTGCCCATTAAACTGTTTCTTTGGGGGTAAGAAGGGGATATTTTTTCACCAACCAGTAAATAATCTAGAATCCCAAAAGCTTTAATTAAAACAGCGCAATAAGAGTTGGAATGTTCTTCCCTCCTAACAAAGTAAAAACCATCCAAATTTGATTCTAATAGCTTATTTAACAGCTATGTAGACCACTGCACATGGATCATCTGTCCTAATTTTAAAAGAAAACACCAGAAAAAGCCCAACTTTTTCTTTAAAAAATATATGCTTTTAACATCTGATAAGGTACATGTATTATTTTGTGTTTTTCCAGAGTTCCCCTTCTTATACTTATCTAAGTTTCAGTCTCCCTGCCTGTTTTTAAGATTTCTTTATTTTTCCTTCCGTTAATAACAAATCATCAAAAATGTATAATTTCTCTCATTTTTGTAATGTGTACAACATTTATTTCACCCATTTCCTCAAAATTTCTTTTCATGCAAGGTCAGATGCCCTTATTGTTAGAGTTTTCTTTTTCAGCAGTGAAAAAGCTTTTTTCCCTAGTCAGTCCTCCGCTGGGAAATTAATATTCAGCATGAACAATGAACTCTTCCATGGCCTTTGAACCTAACGGTTGCTAGGAGGCCTGAAGAAACTCTGGGATAAAGCAGATATGATTGTGTGCAACAAAAAATGAATCAACAGTAAAATGTGTGACTTTCTAGATTCTTAGTTTGATCTCCATGGTCAGTGTTTCTGAAGTTTCATGTAAATTGCATCCATATGAACAATAATGTTATTAGGCAAGCGTTTTGAAAATGCTGATATTGGGCAATAATGCTGCCGTACTATAAATCAAACATGTTTTTACTCATGCATAATAAAAACCTGGTTAAAAAGGGTGCACCTCACCACTCCAGTAGGGAGTCTGCAATTCTGTTTTAATAATAAATTGGGCATAATCCAGAAGCTATATTTTCCCAAAGTTTCACTGATAGCACAGTATTTATCATGTCACCAATCAGCATTTTTGTATTACTGTGAGACATACACATCAGATTTTCCCCAAATCATTCATTTTAGAGGATTTTAGCCCTGCTTGCTTGTTTACCTACCTAATTTTCCTGAATGAAAGCAATCAAGATAGAACAACAAGCTTTTCTTCCTCTCCCACAAACAATGCATCATTTTAATTAAAAGAATCACAACAATACTAATGGTGATTAGGTTAAATGGCTGGACAAACAGAAGGCAGTAGGCTGAAAAGCCCATGTGTTTCCAAGCACTTTCTCTGTACAAGATTTTGGGTGACAAAGAATGTACTTGTATTCACAGTCACTGTAACTTTTATGCAAGAAGACTTCCTATAGATTTCCTGTGAGGAAGAGAGTTTCCTTTAAATAGCCAGAAGTGTTTAGACACAGTACCCATTCCTCCCAAAACTAATATTTGGAAAGGCAATGGACAGGGATCATTTTAAAATATGTATATCCAAGCTATCCACACAAAAAGGCCACAATTACATTTCCAGCTAAAAGCCTACACCTTCCATTTTTAAAAATATCTTTCATTTCCACTTTCTCATTCCCAAAATAACTTTAGTAGGTTACTCAGACACAACGTGACATCTGCTTTTATCCCCCCGTTGTTATGTCACATTAGAAATTGGTCTTTTCTGTATTCATGGGTATACAATAATACCAAAAAGGAAATTTTATAACATATGTATAATAGATGTAACCCTCCCATTCCCAACTGCACAGATACCTCATCTAAAATACAGGCAGTCACACATTTGATACTGAAAATGACTCAGAGTTGGATCAGACAGACCCCATCAAAAAATGCTTTTATAAATCCAGAGAGGCTCCAAGTTGCTCCAACATACTAAAATAAAATAAAATAAAATAAAATAAAATGTCACAGATTGAAATAAATGCTCCTTACAGCATCTTCTGTTTCTGTGTGGGTTTCCACTTTAAAAGGAAAGCTTGAAAGTATTGACAGTCAAAACTGACATGGTATCTCTCTCTCACACTAAAATAATAGAAAAACCATAAAGACCAACAGTTTCGATACTGCAAATTCAGGCTGGATCAGATTTGGCTTTGTAGATACTTTCCTAAATACGCTACACTGACAAGAAGAGAAATACCAACCATTCTAGTTTTCTTCAGCTGCTTACACATAAATTATACTTGTCATTTCTCCTAAATACGTGGCTTCCCACTAAAGAAAAGACTGAAGCAACTATTGGGAAAATAACACGATGTCCCTATATAGTCAGATTTGTTAAAATGTACATTGTTTCCTTCAGATTTGGGCTGAATGACAGAAATGGTCAGAAGACATTTTTAAAACACCAGAAACCAAACCTGGCTAAATAAACACGTTCATGGGGGACAGGGATAGTAAAGTAAGAATGTAACTGACAGCCACAAGCTTTGGCTCAACCTTCCAGTACAGATTGGGGGGACGGGACTGGAAACGTTCTCAGCTATGCATAATAAATACCTTCATCTTCTCTCTCACTCTCTCTTTTTCCCTTTTAAAGGAATCTGCCTACTCCACCTAAATTGAGGCTTAGAGGGGAAACGTGCCTTCTTGATAAATTGGTACTGGACATCATAATAATGAAATGTTATATCTGATCATCACAGTAACCAAGCAGTAGAACAACAAAAGGTTTCCAGGATCCCTCCCCCCCAGTCATTCCCCCAAACAACGGCATTTTCTCAAGTATTCTACCCTGTGTGTATCAAACATCTGAATTACAAGGCGGTTAAGATGCATTTTGGTTGAGACGCATTTCAAGAGGAACGTGCTTCCGCTTAGAAACACAGAGGCTTTCTTATTTACAGAGAAAGGGATTTGGCGACTAACCCTTTCCTGATTTTTGCCTTTCGTGGTGCTGTTTTCCCATCGGGGCTGCGCTCGGCTCCCCTGCCTGGCGTGCGCACACACTGGCGCAGCATCCATTCTTCCCATGCCAGCGCTGCCTAAGCCATGACCAGCCAAATGGGCACATGTGCGCCCCTCCAGACGTACATCTGCTCTCTGCGTACGCCGCAAGGAGCCACGTTTTAGATTCCTTCCCGCAAACAGGCTCCGGAAAGCTGAACAGGGGCAGCAGGAGCATTGCAGAATTACAGGTGACACCAGGGAGATCTGCCCATGGCATGGTTGAGATGCCTGGATTGAAACCGCGTGTCTGGCCCATAAAGCCCAGGACGCAAAGGGCTGCTGTGCGAGGACCCCCACCCCATGCCACTCCATGCCGCGCCAAGGCAGAGCTGGCAATCCCTTCCTTGGCCTTTCTCTTCCCTTGACTTGGATTTTCAACACCATATTGAAAGGGCCCTGCTGGGCTTCTGGCTGAGGTATAAAATGGTGGATGAAGGCTCCCCCCACCCCATTATCCATCGCATCCCGGGCTCCCCCCTGCCCCGAGGCGGGCGGCCGGCCGGCCCCGACCACCAACCTGATGTC